GAGCCAGCCACGCCAAATCGATAGAAGTCCCCGTGATTCCGCTTCCTTTCATCGCCACGGTGCTGCACCACTGCCATACGGATGTGTTGGCCGCTCACGTGGGAGTCACCAAGACGCTGGACAAAGTCCGCAAGCACGCCTATTGGCACGGTTGGAAGCGCGATACGATGGAATACGTGAAGGAGTGCACTACTTGTGGGAGTGGAAAGGGCTACCGACCGTGGAAGAATGGCCTCATGCAGAAGATGCCTATCCAAGAGCTCTCAGGGCCCTTCTCATTGCTGGTGGTGGACGCCGTTGGCCCTTTGGTAACCACCCCGCGAGGGAACAAGTTCATCCTCGTCTTTGCGGACTACTTCACTAGGTGGGTCGAGGCTTTCCCAGTCCAACGGTTGGACACTGTGACTTTCGTGGAAATTATGGTGAACGAAGTAATCTCTAGGCATGGAGTGCCAGAGCGCCTGCTGAGTGACCAGGGATCCAACTTTATCTCTGGGTTAGCACGGTCTTTCTACGAGACTCTGGGAATCAAGAAACTATATGGAGCTGCCTATCACCCCCAGACTCAGGGACTGGTTGAACGCTTCAATGGCACCCTCCTTAGCATGCTACGCTTGTTCGTTCGCGAGTCTCAGGACGATTGGGATCTTTACCTGCCTAGAGTACTGTTCGCCTATCGGACCTCATTCCACGAAGCCCTACGTGACTCGCCGTTCTTCAGCCTGTACGGAAGGGATCCTGTACTTCCACTAGACCTGGCGTTCCTTAACACCAACAGCGACTGGAAGAGCAATGAAGTGGCTTCGTACCGACGCCGACTGTTCCTGTCCTTGCGAGACACCCGCCGAATGGTGGAGCGCCAACTCCTCAAAGCTCAGGGACGCTACGAGAAGAGGTTAGGCACCCAGAAGGCAGTGACGTTCGAAGAAGGAGACCCGGTCTGGGTCTACCAATACTTCCGAGCTCGCCGTGGAGAACGACGAACCAAGAAACTTGCCTTCGCTTGGCATGGACCGTACCGAATAGTGGGAACTGTAGGTGAGAATGCTTATCGGAAGGCGATTCCGACTCACC